CACACACACACACACACACACACACACACATACTTACTCTGGATGAGTATTTGTTCTTTGCTCTTTGTGATGGTGGTTGTGTTTGAAGTAGTGTTGGTCACAGGTGAGACAGTTGAAGCTTGCATCTTCAGCAATAACCTGCACAGAAGGACAAACACACACACACACACACAAAAACTACTTTAGTCAACTGAATATTCTCTGAAACCATGACTACACAATATATTTCAAGGTTGAAACAGTTTTTGCTGCCGTCAATACTACAGATTAAGGGAGGAGACAAGAATAGAATGAGGAGAGAAGATGGGATTTGATGATTAAAATATCAGTGTGATATATTGATCTTCATAAACAGTGAACAGGTGGCATAGCAGAGGGAGTGCACCAATGAATACTTGTTTTATGAAACAATATAAAACAGATTGGAAAGATGTGATTGAACAGCTTTGTGTTTAATCTTTATCAGCTGTCACACAGCAGGTTCAAATCTTCCGTGTAATTTCTTCTAAAGCGTTATGAAAACATTTGTGGTTATAGATGTGCATCATCAGCCACAACACACCAGGAAACCATGTTAAAACAAGTCGGACAAGTACAGAATAGTGCTGCAGTTCATTTTTTTTGCACTTGAATTCATTGCATATCTTATATTGAGTCAATCCCACATGCACCATCCTGCAGCCATAAATATTGCCTTGACCATCAAACTATTGCTGAAAATAGTCCCCACCAAATGCACCATTTGTTTAAGTTAAGTATTTTTCAAAGATTTGCATCTTTAGGAGAAGCAGATGGATTTGGTGCTGAATGCTGCGGACTGGGTAGGGAAGTTGCAGAGTATTAAAAGACAGACGAACGCACAATGATACCCACAGTCATCACTATGAACCAAATATAAAGCTGCACTAATGTGACGACTGTTCTGTCAATCATGACTCATTTAGCCATGCATCATCAACAATGCATATCCTCAGAGATGTTATGTTGCTTCAAGGCATGCTTCATTGTGTTTTCATTGATGTTAACACACTGTAATTTTGATCTAGTCTATCTCTGTTGTTATGGGTCACGCAGAGATCCTCTGTCATATTTAGCAGGATCCCTGATACCGTTGAGGAAACAGATGTAGGTCAGGCCTGTCCCTGTAACTGATACTTCCTCCTGAGTCCGGAGAACACGCCTGCAGACACTTTCAAGTTTCAGAAGAAATACCCAAGAAATACATTATGATTACATGTAGGTTCATTATAATTTCCACTGAGCCTTTGTTCTAGAAATGTCACTCCTACTTCAGGTTCCACATGTACAGTACCACACTAGAACAGAACAAGCGTTATGAAGGGAGTTCCTCATCCTCTTTTCACACCGATGACGAGGCCACTGAGTCATTGAAGCAGGATTCCAGAGATGTGGATCATTATTACTTAAATGATCCTCTGTAATAGTGTCACCTGATTTGTCAAAGCATATTTCTTTAGCCAGTTTTGTAAAGCTTGTGAAACGCTCGGGAGGTCGTCTTTTTGTCCGATTCCTTTTCGTTTCTCGTGTAACAGCTTCAGTGACTAATCCGAAAATCATCCAGTGTGTTTACATATTATTATTTCGTCAAACTGTCAGAGAAATGTCAGGCTTTACAATCAACAGTCATAGGCTATAAAAAGCTGTAAACCCTGGCACAAGGAAACGCAGCAAAGTTAGATTGACTGCTCCATTGATTAAGTTCAAATTTAGACTGCTGTCATTCAAAAAAGAACAAATGACGGAGATACAGTAGCCCTGCTCAATGAGTTGACGTACAAAACTCAAGTAATAAATATTAATATTATATATAGCTGCTGCTGTTACAAAGAATCTGTTATTCTAAATGAAAAAGTGGGAGTTCAGTGGTTTTCTAATGAACACCTGGCTGCTGACAGATAAGCTGACACACGTTCTCCTCCCTCTCTCACACACACTTACAATAGCCTGATTATTTTCTGCCACACATGCTGCCTCTGTTCAGGGAATAATTTAACATTTTGGAAAATACGCTTATTCGCTTTCTCGCAGAGAATTAGATGAGAGGGTCGATACCACTCTCACTTCAGTGAGGTAAATATGAGGCCAGCTTTAGCAGCCATTGGGCTTAGCTTAGCATAAAAGCTGGAAGCAGGGGGAAAAAAAAACAAAACTCCTACCAGCACATTTAAAGCTTGATAATTAACACGTTGTATCTCGTATGTTGAATCCAAACAAAAACATAAAAACAATAATTTTCTGTATTTCTTTCCTTGAGTCTCTGCTGGTTGCCTGGCAACTGCTCCTGACAAATTGTTAAAGCTTTAGTTTCTATTCAGATTAAACAAACAAGATATAATTTGTTAATTAGTGAGCTTCTGAAGTGCTGGAAGGCAGATGTTTTTTAAATATATATATATTTTAGCTAGCTAGGCTAGCTGTTTCCCCTTGTTTCCAGTCTTTATGCTAAGCTAAGCTAGCCAGCTGCTTTATCGGGCAGTGTGGTATCAATCTTCTCATCTAACTCTCTGCAAGACGGTTAATATGATTTTTTTGCACACGTTTTTAATTTTACACTTAAAATGTAGTTTTGTTCACAGAGGTTATGAGATTAGTTTCTTGTATAATATCTGGCTCCTGTGTTTCTTCGTGATAATGTATGGACAAACAGAGCGGCGGCCTGCGTACATAGCCTTAATCATTAATGGAGCAGAAAAGTTTATATTGCACCTCATATCCTGAAAGCATTGTAAAAGGACCATTTACAACCCTGTACCTGTGACAGAGACAACGAGTACAACGCATTCCTGTGATAGGGTAAAGATTTGTAGAAATATTCCACAGACTGGGATTTCGACTCTTTATTATTGAGCTTTGATGAGTCACGAGTCAGAATTTCACTTGAAGCTATTTCTCGATACTTGTGTGTGGACTGTACATTTGAACCAGCTTCCTGCTCAACGGCAAACATTGCTCAAGCAACTCTCCCAGTGTTGACACACACTATTAGGCGTAGAGATTGGTAAAGACATATATCATGTTTTCTGTTTGCAGAGGTGACAGTTAGTGATAAGTGGCAGACTGACCATAAGCAGAGTAAAGTTGGTTATATGGTGGAGCCATCTAAAATCACAAATTTAGCATCTAGTGATGCGTATGTATTTGTGCCTCTGTTTACAGACTGTTGTGCCCACAGAGCGCAGGACGAGGGGAGGCAGACTCAAACATATTCAAAGCTGATGGATAATGTTTCCCTGATGTTGAATTGTTTATGTTAAACGGTTAACTTCAGTATTTTTCAACCTCTTTTCCCACTTTTTTTGTCTAAGTGACTAATGAGAACAACAATTTTTGAAATTGGTCCAGTATTGAACGAGAATGCTGCAGCCGGTGGCCGCTAAACGGTCTAAAACTGCTTGTTTTTGCCACCGGCAGGCTCGGAATGTCATTATAAGTCTCTGACCACATTAGGGCCCTTTCTTACCTTTCGCTCTCGGTTTGCTAATGTGCCATTTGACTTGTTGCCAGAAGACAATGGCGAAAAAAGTGAGTGACAGTTGGACAGAGGAGCGCCACAGCGACATCGGTGTTGTGTTATCTTACTGTTGTCCAAATGATTTTCAATGTCATGACAGACATGTTTGGCAGATTTCGAAAAAATGTGGATGCAATGCAAGATATCAGAACGACACTTTAAACAACAACAAACGGACCGGATCAAGCGAAAGGTAAAGTAAAGCGTATTATTTCCATAATGTTATCAGACACTTATAATAAGATCCTGAGCCTTTCAGCACTTTAAGTGGACGTACATAGAGGGACAGGAGTCGCTCTGAGCAATTACATTACAGCCTGTTCGCCGTCTGCAGCATTCTCCCTCAATACTCGACTAATTTCATTCATTATTGTCCCCATTAGTCACTTAGACACAAACACATGGGGAAATTGGATCCAGGTTGAAAAATAACAAAGTTACCCTTTAGGATGCCGGCCATATTATCTGCTCAGAGAACTCACCAGCCTTTGTATTGCTGCTGTTTACAATCCTTCTGATTCAAATTTGAAAAAAATGCACTACAGTGTGGAGAATTTCAGTATTAAACGCATTATTAGTAGGATTAAATAACACCCCTAGTGGTGAGTAGAAGTGTCACAATAATAAATATGTTAGTCACAATATGTTTCCATATGGAATGTACGTTTATAATATCCTTACTTATAGAGGATTGCAGGCTCTCTCATCCTTTGTTCTTAAAAACCTAACAACAGGAAAGTACCTCTGTCTTTGTTTTTCTTGTGGAGCATAAAGTGGCTACAACTGCATTCTGCCGAACCTTTGGTGCTGTAATATAAGGATGCCAGAGCAAGCACTCCTCTAAGGAACACATTACCTAAATAATAAAGGGCGTTTTTTTTTTTTTTATAATTCAAGCTAATTAGATCTTGAGTGTTCTATGTCATCATAGCCAGTGTTCGTCAGTAGTGGGTGGGAGTGTCAACTCCCTCAGCTTGGGGTGGGTCGACAGAAGGTGGCTCCTGACTTCTTAACTTCAACCGGACCTCCTGGAGAACAAACGACTTTTGCTTGCCGCTGCCTAAATAGCAAATACCATAACTGCCCTGAGCGGTGTTACGCATGAACATCGGCTAATTAAAACGTGCGTTAAGGATGTTCCATTTAAGCATGCAGTAAAAAGAGACCCGCTCACATCATTGGCTAAGTACACTTAACACACTAATTGTTTCCGCTGCATTCAACCCCTTCTAGATTGTAAGGGAAGCGAAGTGTCCATCTAGCTTCATCTACATAACGTGGCAATGTTTTCATATGTGAGAGACGACTAGAGAAAGATTGACTGCCGATTGATGTTGCTCCTTCCATTTAGTCACATTTCTAATTCACTCAAATCTGAACTGATACTTTGCAACAACCAGCTGAAGGAAAAGGCCTTTGACACACTGTCCCACATGTACAGCTTTGTCCCCTCGCTAAGCTAAGCTATGGGTAAGAAACCCGACCACTGGCTGTAGCTTCATATTTATCTTCTCAATCTTCTCATCTATCTTCCCACCAGAAAGCCAACAAGCACAATTCCTAAAATGTAGAACTATTCCTTTAACCGCAAAGCCCAGAATCACATCAGCTGGTACAGAGCTAGTGTGCAAACAGCATAATTAACAGGTCAACTTAGTTATCCACGGACTGGAAGTACCATAAACAACAATCATACATTCTTTATTGTCACAATAACAGAAGGGAAATTCAAATGAGAAGGCCAGTGAAGGACAACGGCAGGAAATAGGTCACACTGTGAGAACAAAATTGTTAAAACACACAAACATTTCAACTTTGCACAAAACAAACACAGATATGACCTACGGATCTTCTTCCAGCATGTGATGTAACATTGCTAACCATCAAGTCAAAGATATCATCAATAAGCAGATTTGAAAAATAAGTTTTATGTTTTTAAGCAAAGGAATTTACAACTACAATGAATCAGATCACGTTGACAGTATATACTTCCGCCAGTCTTCTCATTGCTGTAATAACAGTTTTGTTTGTTGTTCCACAAATTGCAGCTATTTGTTAGCATGGCAGATTCAATATCCTTTCGTCCATCTTCAGTAAACACATCATTTATTGCTTTTTCAGAGAGCAGACTCTCAACACAGAACAGGATCTATTTAGTTTCCTCTTTTATATATATGAGGAAAAGCCAGACAAAGCTTTTGACCGGCTCCACTCCCCCCCCCCCCTGCACACGTTCATCCACATATTGTGTTTAACACAGGCTCCTGCACACATATTCATAAAGCACGTTCAAAGCATGACCTTCATCAAATGACAGCTGGAATCAATATTTGAGGAGTCAATTAGAAACAGGGTTAATACGACACAGATGGAGCTATTAGTTCAGCAAGCAGAACGCAGTCTGAAGTCACCGCAGAGACGTTATCTGCGTCACGTCAGATGTAAATTTCCCATACAATTTGTTTTCCAGTTATCACACTGTAGAGGGATTTAACTATGACTTTTATCAACCTCAATCCATCACTGAGGGATTTGCAACCTCCCTCACAAGTCTCTGGCACCGGTCTGACATGGGAATAAACGATGAAGTCAGACGTCAGAGATTTAAAAATCAACTGATTCCCAAAAAGTGTGCGGTAAAGAGGTAATACCCCATAGTGCGAGAGTGAGCTGTGACGAGCTCGTGTAGTAGTGAAAGTACAGGCAGCAATATCCCTGAAAGATCTACACATCACGATGGACAAGTTTCTAAAGAATGCAGCTATCCTCTTAGTACCAAACTGGGTTAGAAAAAGTAGGATTTTAAGCATGAACTAGACAGAAATATTGATATCGAGAACCGCACAACAGGGTTGAAATGAAAGTAGGAAGCTACTTCGTCATCGAGACGTGCAGTAGGTTTGCACAACAGCTTTAAATCAGTTTATCATTCATGGTTCACTATAGAGAGTAACGTAGTGGCAGAGTTGGGAACTTGGACTTGCAAAAAGTGAAAGCATCTCTAAGTCTGAGAGGCTAGAGGGAAGTCTTAAGTTACAGTCGATTATAAACTGTTATTTGTTTGAGTCCCAGTGTAAATATACAATACCGTTGTACTGTGTTATTGAAAAATACCCGTATTATTGCATGCCTAATAATGTCAGCAATATTTTTCATGTTACCCTGAGTAACTTTAGTCTGTTTCTATTTTTAAGGGCAAAATACAGTTATTTATCTTTTTTATTTTGTATCGCAACGGCATGTCTAAAGGGATCATTTACAAAACAGCTAACCAATGCTGATACTGTATGCTAACAGCTAAAGAAATGATGATAATGGTACATGCTATACATTCCATAGATATAGCGTCCAGATGACATGCAGCAGATGAACGTTCATTACAACAATAGAAGACTTGAGACTTGCAAAAAAAAAAGACTTTTGAGCATCCCTGTATAGTCACATTCACGTCACTGTGAGTCCAGCTGAAAGAGTCAGATACGAGTGAGAAGTTACACAGGCTGAATGCTGAAGAGCAAACCGGATGTAGAGTTCAGTTGGTCCGTGAGCCACTTTGAAAGTCTTAAAAAAGGTTTTTTTTGGGGGGTTTATTTACTGTGGTGGTCAGTCAAGGGCATCTATGTGCGTCAGCCACTGACAGCTGGTGAGAAAACTCTGAACACTGAAGTATGAATAGGGACTTTGAAAGCATGCAGGGCCTTTATAGACCTGATGAATTCTGATTAATCCCCTTAATGTAGATATTACCACGACGAAAACCTGCTCACATAGTCTGGGTTCTGATTTTCCAGTCAGGATATTCCAATTTCCCATGAGTGTTTTAATCCAATAATAGGACTAATATCCTAAACAGCCCATTAAATGACTATCATGTTAATCAGAATACAGTCGTGGAGTAGAGCCGGGTTTCCTTTTCGAGCTGTCCTTCTCATTGTGTTACTCTTCATCAAAGTATCATTGACATCTCAGTGTCGTCCAGTGTTCCCCTTTACAAAACCTCCATTTTACAATCAGCCTTTGATAATAAAGACGTCTGCTGCTGACAAGAATATTTTTTATTTAGAGTTAATAAACTGTTAATAACTGCTAATCAAGTCAGATGTGACGATTGAAACTGTGGTATTGTTCAGCATGCTTATTAATGCTGTATAATACAGCTTGTTTTCAAACGGTGCTTATCCAAGATGAAAATTAAAACAAAAGAAAGTACATACAATAGCACTGTGATCATTATCTGCAGAGCCAGACAGCAGATCATTTTCATTTTCATGGGAAAATGAGTTCATATCTACTAGTGGTGATGTAGTTACAGTCTCATAATAACTGCATTCATATATTCATTATTCCATGATTGAAATGAGTGGATATCATATTGTGGGTCATGGATGGAAGAAGGGGATAGCCCGCTGATTGTAATTTTGATATACTTGTATGTTCTTTAGGCTTTTTATGCTCTTTTAAGGGTTAAATGTGTCCTTTTGTTTCATAACTCTTATCTCTCAATGTTAAATTGTCAAACAGAAAGACACTACTATACTGTATAAACTGTCCACCATCCCAGTGACATTTCAAAGGGATCCAAACTATAAATGTTAGCCTTATTTAAACTCAAGCTCCTTAGATGCAGCTGGTATGACACACAGTCATTAATCATTACAGGAAGGACCGATTTAATAAGCTTATAGAATAAAACACACTAGAAGAAGATGTACGCTGTCTAGAACTACACAGACAACTCCTCATGGTCAAATAACTACAAATTGTTGTTTATAAAAAAGCTTGCACAAAGCTAAAAGTCCACAAAGGATAAATATGCCATCATCACGCCACTGACGTTATATGAAAACACTGAGTTCTGAATTAGCGTGGCAGTCCTTCACAAGCAGCTGTCTTATTTTGGTGTAACACAGCAGCAACTGATATGATAAGTAGAGCTGTTCTATCAAAAAGCCTCTTATCAATAACAGATACACAGGCAGCATTATGTAATATTCCCAGCTGAAGAAGAATATCTGCGTCGTCCCACCAGTTCACTAGCAAAAGTAAGATCTCTAAATATGAGAGCAGCTCTGGAATGTGAGCTATTCCCTTTCACCTGAGACTCAACTGAAGTCTCGCCACGGTGTCTGGGGGACAGCTATTCTCACACAAACACACACTGGCACACACACACACACACTCACACACACTCACTCACACCGAATAGACTGAGCAACTCACTGAAAAATGTACTCTCAACCACAAGAGTTTAGAGAAAAAAACAAACAAAATCTGCCAGGAAGAAGGAGTCAAAAGACTTACCTAACCATCTCCTCTTTGATTTCGGCCCGAGCCTTGTCCAGGTGGGAGCCCCGAGCAGCATAGAGGCCCCTCCCTCAGCTGACTGATGGGGGCATAGTCCAACGGTGGAGGGCTGACGGTCACAGCGGTTCTGAGGGGAGGGAGGTAAGAGGGAATAGGAGAGCGCGCGGGCAGAGGAAAATAGGTCCTAGGTGCTGCTAAAGTGACAATCCCACAGGTACAAAGAGGTGGGACGGACACAAAATAAAGAACAAAGGAGTTTCAAAGCAAGCAAAGATGCCTCTGTGTGTGTGTGTGTGTGTGTGTGTGTGTGTGTGTGTGTGTGTGTGTTTCTGTGAAGAGGAGGAGAGAGTGAGGAGGAGGCTCCACGCTGGCTCACTTGTTGCTCCTCTCTGAGAGTAATAACCTCAGGCAGCTGGTTTTTCAGGTCCTTCCGCCTGGCCCTTAGGTGTGCCGCGGCCACTGATCAAAAAGAGAAGGTGCTCTCCAGAGTTGTTTTGCTCTGCTCGGCCTCTCTAAATCACAGCGGCTGCATCTCACATGAACTGCAGAGGGTGAGCCACTGGGCAGGAAGATGAAAAGTAACTCATACAATCTCAAATATTAAAGACCCGTGCACATCCATGTAACCTTTACATTTTGTATGCAACTGCGCATGCATAATACTGAATATATATGTGTTTGTTTTTTGTCTCAATCATTACTTCTTTGGAGAATAATAAGACTGCATGTGTGTGCATGCTTTTTTTTCTGTTGACAATTATGTATCACAAATCCATAAATCTGTGCACAAACACGTTTTATGCGTGTAGTTGAAAATTAACTGGGGCGAGACTGTGGATAAGTGGATAGCAGGGCTGTCTTTCAGTCAGAGGGTCGGTGGTTCGATCCCCGGCTCTGCTAGTCGCATGTTGATGTGTCCTTGAGCAAGACACTTAACCCCAAAATAGTTGCATGTCGATGTGTCCTTGAGCAAGACACTTAACCCCAAAATAGTTGCATGTTGATGTGTCCTTGAGCAAGACACCTAACCCCAAAATTGCTCCTGTAGCTGTGCCTTCGGTGTAGAAATGTGATAGAATCTGAGTTGTAAGTCGCTTAAAGCGTCTGCTAAAATGACTGTAATGTAACTGAATCATGATACTTGTCTGCTGGGTGTGTTTGTACAGTAGAAAAGATACAGTGTACAGCAGCATTTTCTATTATCATCTCACATTTGTGTGAAAGGTGTGCACTGAATGAGAAGAATGTTTTTACTGGCAGTGATCTTCCTGACTTATCTGTCTACTATTTATTATTGTAGCAAACAAACTCCAACACACCCATCGTGGTAGTCTCTCCCACAACAGTGCCAACAATTCTTTGGGATCTCACCTCATGTTACCTCCAGGGTAACAGGGTAACCGCTAGGTGGTGCCCACGACTATAAAGCCAGTCAGTGCTGTGCCTTTGTTGGAAAGTGTTGCTAAACGTCATATTGGCAGAAAGGCATTGTTCTGCTTCACCTGATGGCCCGCACACAGTGCTGGTGTCCCCACATCCTTGTGTTCTGCTGTTAAGTACAAATAGTGTAAACATCCTGGGTGCAAAAATTTGTTTGATTTTACTGATGGTGAAAATACAAGTGCGTCATCATATGTTGATTCTTATTTAGTGATCGTAATAGTTAAGAATCAATCTGTGCTATCTCAAACGTACAAGAACGTGATTTATTTACGTATTTTCCGTTTTTATAGTTGTTCAATGCTAGACTTAATTTTCTTCATCATATTTTCTCATTTCTTTTTCAAAAATCTGCTGTGCCATTAATTTGTTCTTTCTTTGGGATGTTAAGTATTGTTTAGAAGAAGAGAATAGGGCCCTGTATGTTGGCCGACGGCTAGCGAGTCTATGCTGCTGTACTTAAGCTGCAATCCATTGTACTCCAAACTCGGAAAAAAAACGACCTCAGACACGGAAATGTGGCCGACCAAGAAACACACGGAGAAGAAGTGTGGAGAAGGAGATGCAGAGCCTAAACCACTCATGGGGCACCAGCGACTCGCCCAGGACAGACGGGGGTGGAAGACTTTTGTTGCTGCCCTACATGCCAGGAGGCATAAAGGGCAATGATGATGAATCCTTTGATCATTTCTGATTTAAAAAAAAAAAAGAAAGATAAGATCATTTATTTTATCTTAACCTTTGTTGACAATACAAAATAGCTGCTTTTACTGGGGCAGCCAATCTTTTCTCACTCTCACAGATAAACGTGTTTACACTCACTGTACTTATCAGTTCATTGCATTAGGAGACTTTGATTTAAAAGCAGAAGTAAATGTTTGAATTTAGTCCGAATAAACCCATTACACAGTATCTGTTGACTTCACTATGTGCACTTTACTACAAATCCATTGTATATAATCTTGTCAACTCATGACTAATGCATTGTTTAAGATTGCTGCTTGAACAACTGAAACCATAGTGCTGTGTAATCCTGGAGAGTACCTTTAAAGGAATCTGAAAGCACCGGCCCCATTAACACCCACAGGGCCACGTTAACCGGCTCTGTTCCCCTCAGTTGCACATGCATCTTCACATTCGATAAAAGGTCATTGTGAAGAGGAATTCCTCACTCCCAGCATCGCGAAGAGACATCTTTTTGTGTCACGGTGATCTCACAGCTGTTGCTCGGTCCTCTCTACCTGTAAAATACTGACAGCCGTCCACTGCTTTTACCCAAAGACCCTTAATTAAGTCAGCGGTGAGACAGCTAACCTTTACAACCTTGGTTCCTCTACACCTGCTTGTCAATATTAAATATGTAGTGTTTTGTAGGGTACAGCTCTGGAAGCACACATCTTCTCGCTAAAATAGTAGGATCAAAGACTGTCTTCACATAGATGGACATCTTTTTGTCCAACCTGCTGTTGCAAAACTCCTTCTTTTGTCCAATCATGGGTGACATTGTGCAACCTTTTTTGGCTTTGTTGTCTTTCACGCCTCATAATAATGTAGTGCAGTCAGTCAGATGAGAGAAATCTATTGTTCTTGGATTCATTAGCAGTCATCTGTCTTCATGTCTGACACGAGGAAACCGCAGTAGTGAAATTTAATAGACCGCAGAACTGGAGGTCACGGCTGTATTGCAACACCTCACCTTTCATCTTATAAATTCCATGTCCAGTGTTGCTCACTGAAAGAATCATTAACGCGACCTTGCTGCGTCTTTAGCATTGATTCAAGGCTCTGACCAAACAGAATATTAACTGTTGTTAGGCCCCTGAGGGAAATATGAGGTGCAAAGTGCAAGGGACTACTGTTGTGCCATCTCAGCATGATAAAGTAGGATTTCAATACATGTCACACCGGTGATAAAGTCTAGTAAAACAGGTTTTAAAGAAGTGCAGAATTAAAGAGGGATGAGGGGATGATAACCATGAAAACAATATTGCATGTGTCTGTGTGTGAATGGATGGTTATATTAATTATATCATTTGATATTTACATGACTGACCTGATCTTTAACATATTATTTACCAGCACATCTGAGTCAGAGCCAAGCATCTGTTTTTTCTGAAAGATCTTCCGACAATGCTAAAGCCATGCTAGCAGCTCTGTAAGGCTGTACTTTGGAGGTGCTTTGAGCTAAATGCTAACGCCACTATGCTAATATGCGCACAATGCTATCATGCTGATCTTAGGCAGGTATAATGTTAACCATGTTTGCCATCTTAGTTTAACGTGTTAGCATGCATTAACATTTGGTAATGTCAGACTGAAAACCTAACGCCAGCTCGCATAACTAAAAGCCAAGAAGGTTGAGATTAGTAACACTCACGGTGTCATGTTATATTTCCATCTTTAAAGACTGTTCTGCTTATCTGGCTAAAGGAATATAAAAAAGAAATATGTCAGTTTGAAAATAAGTTTTTTTTAATCTCTTTTTCCAAGTTACGACATTGTTTAGAATATAGTAGCGATGACATGCTCATTTTGTAGAACACAAGGCATTTATAAAAGTTTTTGTTTTGTCTAAAATCTTTCTTTAAATGCATCAGACAAGACATTTTATGATCCATATGAACAAAAAGATTCTGGAAATACCTTCAACATAACATAACTATACGGGTATAGTGTCGTTGCAAAACCTTCAGATTTTCTTTTAAAGATTTTCATGAACTTGCCTCTCTGAAGAACTATATTTTGCTCTGACTTGAATGTAATGATCATATATGAAAGGCACAAACTAGGCTCTCATAAGTGAGTTACTTGCAGATCTAAATATCTCATGCAATCTGAAAATGATGTGTAATAAATCTAAGTGTTACATTTTACAGCATTTGAAATTTTACATGAGATTCTGCTTTTTCTACATTTGTATATGTGAAGCCCCTCAAGTAAAGAAACCCCTAAAACAAACAACACTGAACATGGCTTTTAAGAATAAGTCTTTATGTATTTCTCTATGTGAAACAAATGGCTATTATACTACACAAATAGAAGCGGATACTGTAAGAGACAGAGACCATCTCTGAGAAATAAGTACAGAACATGAAAATACACATACCGGTATTATAGAACTGTAAATTATTGCTTGTTTTGCTACTTTGTTTTCTGGATTCCTACAATACAAGACACAATATTCATATTTCAACAGAAACGGTACGACAGTGACAAACGGTATCATTAACCTTTTTAGTAGACGTTCCCCAGAAATAAAAGAAACATTCAAACAGAGTCCATGTTGCGCACAACACAATGACAATTGGTTTTTGATCGAGCATCTTCAGGACTTATCGTTACATATTTTTGTATTTTTTTTCCCCATTACAACATTGCCAAGAGAAGCTGTAACAAACTGCACACTGGGACTGGCCTCAGCAGAAAAACACAAAAAAACAACCACTTGGCATATGTACATAAATATACATTTTCATTTCAACTGCGACCAAAATTCACCCAGTTTTAAACACCATGACCACAGAGAGTAAAAAAAAATCTTCACGAGTGTCTTTCTGCTGCTCCGCTGCTTCCTCTGTCATAACGTACCTCAGTAGTTCCATCAATCGTCCGTCTGCTTAGATAACTGGGACAGCTTTACTGTAGTGCCAATAAAACTGCACTCAGCTAACATTTAAAGAAAACAAAAAATGTTTAAGTTTCTCAGCAGATAAGATGAATGTTTCTTGCAGACGAACACGAAAAATAAAGACATTGATTTTACTCATCCTGCGTCATTTAAAACCTATAACTGGACTGCAGGTCTACACCTTTACAGTGGTACACTTCCATAGACCCAAAAAGGCCTGAAATTCTCAAAGGTTCACACTAGCAAAAAGGAAGTGGAGTGTTTCACTCACTGCAATATGCTGGTGAAAAGGCTAACCAGGTGTTCAGCTTGAGATAAAAGAAAAGAAAACACAATAAAGAAACAGAAGAAATGCAATGTGCTTCCTACTTTGTCTCAAGGACTATTTTATGTGAAGGAAACAAAGAAAACACAATAAAGTGCTCACATGCAGAAGGTCTTTTGCTTACCAATATTGTTATACAGCAAAAAAGTAGTTTTAGATTTCATGCTGCCAATGACAAATAAGGTTTGGACTCACCACTTGCAGCCAAAAGCCCCGTTAGGAACGTTTGTTCATGTTGCTTGTAAAGCGCTGAAATATTTCACCAAATAAACAAGGTGAAACACTGATATGATACGGGACTGTAAGGAGAATTATCCAAAAAAAAAAAAGGAAAAATGTTTATGATTTGTTCAACTTTCCACTGAACTAGATACTGCAAAAAAGTATATCTGCTAATATAAAATAAAAAACAATGCAATAAGTTGTTTTGGGAAAATATGATTTCTTTCTGCTCACTTTACCAATATACATCGGCTGAGTAAGAAAAATCGTTTAATGTCATGACAAGATGGGCCGAGTGAATGCTTTGGTTGATATCTCATGAGGCTACCTAATTTTCCCTTTTCTCAGCAAAATGCTGTCAGATAAACTACAAAATCTAAAAGAACTACTTCCACAGACTGCTCAGCTATTTACAGCGAGAAACAGCGCAGTATTCTGGAGCGCAGCAGGAGGCGGGTCGAGAGCATCCGCAACTGCTCGGAGATATCAAAAGATACTCAGTGCAAAACAAGCAGTAGTAGGTTTCAGAAGAAAGCCCGACACATAGAAAGTGAGTTTGATCAAACATTAGAGATGTCAATAACAACAAACAGAATCAGAAAGAAAAATCCACATCCCAGACCCCTTGAAGAAAACAGAGGGGATGAACTGTCTCTGATTCATCAACAACGGTGACAAAAGCGAATTTGCCATCAAGTTGAAGACTGAACTGTCAATCTTAGGAAAAAACCCATTCAGCTTTTCCCCCCCCCCTCTAAGACGTCACTTTAAACTCTGCGTGGGGATATGCACTTGCGTCAAAAGCGTCACACTGTTTCCCTGTCATCACGAACAACAATCAAAAAAAACACCTCAGCTCATCATCTACAGAAGTATTTAAGCATGCAAAAAGTGTGGGGGTATCAAATACATTGTAAGAATACACATCTAGTAGTTTAGCAAAAAACAACACCTCTCCAAATAAAAAAAAGACAAAAAGCCAAAAAACGAGCAGAAAAAAAAAAAAGTCAAACAGTCACCACAACTTTGTTAGTCACATATGACGCTTCGTGCTGTGTGTGATGTTAAATAGGTTCCTTTTTCTTGATATATTTTGTTAGTATTTGTGTTTCTGTACGTATTTTTTTGTAACACAGTATATACATGCAGACAAGAGCAGGAACATCACACACTCAATCTTGATACAAGCTGAAGCGACAAACCAGCAGGTATGAAAATGGATGAAAAAGATACATAAATATGCATATATAAATATATATATTAATATATATATATATATAAATATATATATTAATATATATATATGTGTAATCTGAAAACACAATTTATTGTAAAAAAAAAGAAGAAGAAGAAATATAAATGTCTTTGCTTAACCAAAGATTATTGTACACACGACTGTGAGACGAAGGGAGAGTTACAAGCTAACAAGCTAACTAACTAGCAAGCTACTGAGCAGGACTAGCAATGAGAGCTGAGTGTGTGTGATACGTGACATGTGCCTGCGTTGGGACAGGTATTTCCACCGCTTTTTTGCTGAAAACCAGGGGGGTTGGTGGGGTGGAGGCAAGCGTGCCCGCCGCTCCCCACGCGGTCCGCAGAATGTGATGAGCGTGTGTGTGAGATTCTCATCCATCCCCTTCAAGCCACCTCATTCCATCGCCACGCTCCCCACAAACGCCGTCTTCGAGCAATGTTTGTTGGTTTTGTTTTTCGCTTGCAGTTGAACTGAAATGAGGGGCATCGACGCTCTCTGTGAGTGCAGAGACGAGAGAGAGAGAGGGCAGGTGTGTTGCGGGTTTAAGGGGGGGGGGGGGGGGGGGGGTTGAGGCCTCTCTAGTTGAGGACTTTGGGGGGTTCCTCTGGACGTCTGGTCTGGACGATCTGCTGCTTTGGCCGCGCCCCCTCGTCCTCCTCCGTCTCACTCTCGCACACGTGGACGACCACGCTGGGGGTGGACTCTGTCCCCGCGTGGAGCTCATACTTTTCACCTGGATGAGAGGGAAGGAGAGCAGGAGTTACTAAAGAAAATTCTACATGAAATACTCTCTCAGTCAACAATGAAGTTATCCTACTAAAGCCAAAGCCTGATATATTTCATGCCGCTGTGTCAGCGATCTCCACTGTTGTCCAAAAACAACAGTCACTATATTTTGGTGAAGTACTCACAAGAGAACCAAATATGTATAAATGCTTAAAATAGTACCTAACAAATGCGTAATTTACTCCTCTTTGAATATTGTTTACTAAAAACTACAGTATCCAGCTGTTTGAGGAAATGTTTTTAGCCATTTAAATAAATAAAACATTATATTTTTTAAAAGATTTACATCTTGGGTTATAGACGAAGTAGTTTTTATTTCTGACAACTAGAAAAGAAATCTGAACATTTACTTTTGATACCCAAACACATTTAGTGGATAAAACTATTCAGAATGATCATTTATATATTTAACAGGTATTCGGGACTTTTACTTGTAAATGAGTATTAATAGCTTTACTGAAGGAAAATATGTGAATATTTCATCCATCACTATTGATAGTTTATTATGTATTATTGTGTATTTATTACACATTGGGGATGTTTTCACAGCACAACATATTCTCCTGTTTGTCTGTGGGCATTGCATTGAAGATCCCGTCAGCACATGGCTTCCAGAGAAAACAAAGAGACCTTTTCCCTAGAATAGCCTTCCATTTGTCCAGATGCCAAACTCAGCAGACCCTCAGATTAAAAACAAACACTTGCTAGATTGTATCACAGTTTCCATGGAGTTGAGATCAGACAGCTTGGCAGACGGGAGGAAATTGGTCTCGTAGCTTTTTTTCTCCGCGGTGCCAAACAGAGAGACGGACAGTGAATGGAGTCCTGCTGTTACCGCCGGGAGTTGACAGAGGGAGTCAGCTCGCCGTGCTTGCAGCTCGGCGCTAATCTGATTTCAGACGCCAGGATGTGAGGCAAAGAACAAAGACATTTCCTGATTCCTCCTGTTGCTATGGTAACGGCAGGACATGTCAAAAAGTGAGACTCTTGTCTGGACAGTGTGTGCGTGCGTGTGTGTTATAGTATGAGGGAAGTTTAATAATCTTTTAGTTGATGATTTAAAAAAAGATAGTGTTCAACTGAGTACAGATTTAGATGTTTTCCAGCTAGACATGCAGTTTTGCTGAGAAGGAAGGAAGCTGCCCCACCCACACACTATCAATGGCTCGAGATCATGATGTCGTGCCTGAAGCCTGAGAAAATACGCTACGCTGGTCGTGAATCTCATGAGAAATTCGACATGCTTTTCTAACATAGTTCTATTCATTTGACATATTCCCTTCTCTGTCTCATACATGTATTGTTAATGCCATATTTGCTTTTATACTTTCTGTAACCACCTTTTCATTCCTTCATTTAGTCAGTGTGTGTAAAACATGCTGTTTTGCATGTACAGTACAATAGGTTTTATCACATCGAACATGTTTGAAGTGATGTTTTCCACTTAATCATCACGAGCCCACATGAACAACAAACACGGGCAGACATTGTTGGATGTTACACAACTTTTCCTGTGTGTGCGGTGACATTTAATAAAGGTTGCTGCAATCTAAAATCTTGTCGACAAGGCAGACAGAGGCGCCATTATTTCGGAGCGGAGAAGCCGACTGGAGAGCGAGGCTGCTCAAAACCTTCCAAATGTAACGGGGCTGAGCTGTACTAACGCTAGCTCCATGGGTTTGCTAAGAATAGGCTGTCTCTAGCTGATTTATTTCAAAACCAAAGATCAGAGCCTCACAAAAAGTGTTTTAAATAAGCACATAATGGTTACATACTGTTCATTATATCATGCTAAAAGAGTGAGGCTTGCGGCACCAGGTCTCAGGCAAAAACATGATCCCTGCAGAAGACAATACAAAAGTAAAAGAAGCAGCCTTGTTTTCGGTTTGCAAGGTAGAGCTGGTTAGTTCTAGTTTAATGTATGAAATATGTAACATTCATTTGTAATTTGGTTCTAACTATTTGGGAGCTTAGCTAAGTCTACATACTTTATATTTTCAAACTGTATGTTTTCAGTTTGAACATTACCGGAGATGTTGTTTTAGAATGACGATGTTTTTAGCAATTGCAACGTTATCTCAAACAACTTTGTCTGGAGTTTTTTTGGAGCATAAACCTCCCCAAATTGAATAAAAAGCAGGACAGAGCCGCTAATGTTAAACTAAACTAAACTAATGTTAAACTAAACAATCCACGGAAGTTATGTTTGGCTGAAACACTGTCGGTAGTAAGCTAGCGAACTAGACATGCTAACGATTTTAGCTTTCCTTAGACCATGCCAATCCATCAGCAAACACACACAGGCACACACAAATATTGGTCCTGGTGCATATTTCTTGAGAGACGTCAGAAAGCAGCAAGTGAAGGTTAAGCACCCTTGACAATGACGGATGGTGGCCAGCACTGCGGCTGTAAATTACAGGCTTCAAGCTGATTTATGTATTCTTCATGTCGCTGCCTGACCGAGACCATGTGCACAGTAACACTGCAGCAGGAGAATCTACGTTGACAGCCGTTTCACATAGAAAGATCAATTTTAAAATGACCCTCAATTCATAATGACATTATATAAGCACGGAATGGCAGCCTTACACACAAATGCATCTGTGATCTGGTAAATTAGACCCCAATACTGCTTTGCCAACATTACTGAAATGCCTGTCAAGAATAAAACTGTAATGATTCAACAATGTTCACTCCAATTATTTTTTTGTCAAACTGCTTCCGAGACAAATAACCTTTCTATATCACCCAGCTGAGGAGCATGAAACTATTTCCTGTTTCTCTCTGGGTGACTCAAATCTGATTTATTACAAACCTCCTCCGCGTTGGTTGTGTGCGTGTTTGTAAATCATGTCTTTGTATTTCAATTTTGTGCAAGAGCATACTGCACAAGCTGGTTGAACACATCTACAGAGCACCGACCTGGTCCTAGCTTGGCTACTGCACACAGCAGGTCGTAGTTGATGCCGGGCGTAGCGTCTTCACTCTGGCTCCAGCCCACAGGTGGCGAGGCAGGCGGCGAGATCAGAAACTGTTTGGCGGGCTGGGGAGGGGCCAGGTACGACTTGTCAATGTCCTCGTCGCCATTCTGGACCTATCGGAGAGGAGATGACAACTGATGAAGGCCGTAGAGCTCTATAGAAGAGATCAAAGCGATTTGAAGAGGGAGAAAGAATATCTCATGTAGTTCTCTCTATGTATACACCTGGCTCATGGTTCACTGCTTTAATACACTACTACATAGTGGACATAGATGCAGCCTAACTTCAGCCGTACTGCCTGGGGAAAGTAGACAAATTGATGGAAACAATGTTTTAAATTTTGAATAGCAATGCTCCACAAAGAAGGGTCAACTTGCGACAGTTGTTAAAGTTCTTGTATGTTTATTGTATACATTAGTTTTGCGCCACAGTCTTTAAGTCTGAAATTGCAGGCTCCTTCCCATAACAGGATTTTGGCATTATGGTAGCAGCCAATTGCCATAATTACAATACCTACAATGTGGAATCTGTCTGAGCACTAAAATCCTTAATCCTCTATCATCAAAGTACTGAGAGTGGTAGCAGCAGGGGTCATGACTGGTGATGTTATTTGTGATAAACCGGGCATCAAAAAGTTGACTCATGGTTTCCCAGGAAGCAGGTATTTGAAGATTTGCAGGCCAAATGACGTCCAGGCATCTGGCCTTGAATGCGTTTTAAATAGATAGCAACAGTTATTTTAACAGAGCTTGGGTGCAGCATTTCCACGGGTTGTCTGGTCTTTCTACACATCGTAATGAAGACATTCAAATGGTTGTGTGTCACCAGTTAGATGTCAAATCTTTTGCTTTTCACCCAAATCTAGTCCACTTTAAACCGAAACGACCAGACATCGATTTACCCTACAGTTTATATGAATAATCTTGTAACTATAAGCTAATATGTATAACAATTTCATCACAGTACTGATGATATGTGCTCTTCTTATCTTTGTACTAGAGACACACTTCACCTTGTTTTTCTTTCCCTCTCTCCCCCAAAGGCAACAGACAGACACACAGCTACGATGGAAGAGAAATCAAGAATTTATGCGTTCATGTGTTCAATCATGTGACTGATGAGCTTTGACAGGAGGGTTGAAGATGCAGTCAGGTGTGGCCAGAGAGGAGAATAAAAAAAGAGGAAGTGAGAGGACTTGACAGGAGAGCCAGTCTTACTCTCCCTTTTCTGAGTTTCTTGTGTTCGTGAATTTCTGTCAGTGAATGATGCACTTATCGCATAACTTCCCATGTAAATAAGCACTGATCTCTCTTAAGACGGTACATGTGCCAGGCCCCCTTCCTGCTCTTTCCCAGACCCCTTAACTGACACTCACTTGGGCGAAGTAGAGTTTGATCTTATTGCCGTTGAACTCGGACTCGTGCAGCTCGATGCGAGCGCGGGCAGCGGCCTCTGGGGTGCTGAAGTTGATCCGGATTCTCCGGAAGCTTTTAAACATCTGGAAAGTCGTCTGCTCATCGTAGCTCCTAAACAATGCCTCAAACCTCTCCTGCAAAAGCAGAAAAAAAACCATTATCCGTTAATGAATCTGGACAAAACAACAACAGTTAAATTCTATATTGACGAATCTGTGTATTCAGTTTTCAGTGAATGCTCTCTTCCCTAAAAGAAAACATTTCCCCGAGCCCCATCTTCAGATTACTTGAGAAATATAAAATGTAAAATTCCATAAGAAAATGTCATCAAATACTCCTAATGAGCATATTTTGTGTAAATATCGAACACAATCGATGCACTATCTCCATAATTTTGGTGAGACATTTTAGGGTGAGCTAAAATTGGGGGGTTTAAGTTATTCACTGACACTTCTGTCTGAGCATTAGACGTGACTCGAACTGCTCTGCAGGCATTCCATTTGCTATTGTGTTAATGGGGAAATTAGATTTCAAACTTCCCCTCATTTTGCCTGCAATCTCCTCCGAAGCCGTCTGTCTCCCAGTCCTCTTTCCTCACTCTCCCCCATCTCTTTATGCAACTCTCTCCCACCTCCGACCACTCCCCCCCCTTCTTCCTCATGCATACCATTTGTCTTTCACCATACCCATAAGATATATTCCCACATCTCCTGTGTTACTCTGTCCTCTCCATGGGCACCGAAGTGGCCTCCTCGGCTGTGAACTCAATCAAGCAGCTCAGAAGGAGGGCGAAAGGAAAAGGGCCGCTGGGACAGCTGGATGCTGAGTAATCAGCAGTAGCGCTGTTCTTTGTCTCCTAACCGACCGTCTCTCAGCGCGGGCGGAAACGTGACCGTGAAAGTCTTCTTCAAGAGGTGGACTGACCAGTTTCATCACTACCACTTTCCAACAAAATGCCTTGTCCTTTTCCTATTCCCTCTGATCTGTTTGTGTGCCCAATGTCCTGACAGCCACATGTGTGCACTCAGTGGCACCAATGGAAACACACACCTGAATTACTCCCACATCGCGCCCCTTTAGTCGCTGACACAGCACCTCTCACCATGATGGAAAGGTGTGCGTGTTAGATGGAGGAACACGCACAGACGGCATGTCGGCTGTGAGATCTGCCTCAGCACATTAGTGACAGCTTAGCGACGGTAGACACCAGCTACCTGTAAACTCAGCACACTGAAGTGAGAGCTCGCTTCGGTCTTCTGCGTGTCCTTTGGATGAATCCAACTCTCGCACATAAACTGTACATCTGGCCTTAACGATTAGTAGGATTGAATGCACGTTCATCTAATTTCTATATTCATCACAAAGAATCCTGGACGGAAGCTGTGCACTGCTAGAGGGCTTTATTTTCAGGATTAGGTTATCTGTCACTTTTTCTTCTTTAATTAACCAATCAATTGGTCTATAAAGCATCTGGAAACAGTAACGAATGCACATCACAAGCAGTCCAAGTCATTTGAGTTGCTGTTTTTTTAAATAAACATATTCAGTTTTACTACATTGTGAGACAAGAACTGTTAGCTGAGAAGCTGTAACCATCAAATATTTGCATGGACTTTAACGATGAACTGGTTAATCGACTTAACACTGTATTGCAACATGTAACTTCATGACTGGAAAGTAAAGTCAGCACCAAATGTAAAAAAAAAAATTAAATAAAAATGGAGGTACAATGTAAGAACGTAGCTGTATATTATCATACTGTGCACCACCCAATGACATACATCACCTTGTAATACAAATACAAATACATTTATTTTGCTACCGCCAAGGAAACATCCAAACAGATGCAACACTATTTGTCCTTTGCTATCAGGAAACTATTGAATAACATTTGTAAGACCTTTAATAATTAAAGTAACACTGCTTTCCAGTCCTTGATGGATGCCTATTAAACTACAGCCAAGTACCTTTTAGCAATTATTATTATAATGAGAATACTCTTCAAAGTACCGGGAGTCTTCTGCATCTCTACAGAGAAATCACCTCATCACCCTTGTCCGACACATGCAGAGTTGTTAACGACTGTGCAAGCTGTGAAACACAGTTATGCTGCGGTGTGGTGTACACTGTGGTAAAACAATTTGCATTTCAAGAATAAGCAGATTAATTTACTCATAATCTTCCCTGCTTCCCCCCCAGTTCTTCTCCCCATGTAAGTGCATCTTTCCCTTTGCTACGCGCCTCGGGGTTGCTGGCTAAACCTCAGCGTTGACTTCACCTCCAGGCTCCGTGATACCATTTTTAGCCAGGTTTCTAGTTGGCCATACAAGGTGCATTCTAAAGAAGCACAGAAAAGAGGTCAAATCAGGAATGTGTGAATATCTGGACTCCTTTTATGTGTTTTGAGGAGAATTACCAAGTAACTTAGCGATTAGAACGCTGCGATCGCAAAAAAAGCCAGAGGGGAGAGTGTGACTCACAACAAAACAGAGACAGCCACGTGTTACGTTTGCTCATTAAACATTGATTCTCTCACCCCTCATAGTAGTTAACCAAATAGCTTCTTCCCTTTAATTGTGTTTAAACAGCAGAAGAAATGTGTCAAAATGCTGTATTAAAGAGGTTAAAGGGTCACAAACCAGATTTCAGTTTGAATCAGTCTCTAGTGACTACCCCAACTCGATGGATTTGAAATACATCACAGGAGCACATCTTTAATACAGAGCAACATTAACATTCAAATGTCCACTGTGTCGTTAACAGCTGTTAAGGTTGCAAACAGACGGATTATCAGGACTTTTACACTAAAAACAGCTGCTTTTTACTACTGAAAAGGAGGCCGATGAGAACGGTGAATGTGAACCAAATCAGACACAACCCCCCCCCCAGGTAAAACCAAAACAATTTGCTAAAAATGCTATAAAGCTCCATAGAGCTGAGACAACTTCCACATTCCACAAAGTATTTTTTTTCCACTGCTAGTATAAAAATATTGATTCGTGCACCTTTAAGGATTTGTGGTAAATAATCAGCAAATGTATCTAACTAGAATCTACCTCCTACATTCAACCAGCTATTGTTTCCATGCTAACTCCTCTGATTTAGGCTTAATTGCAATTAGATTGAGAATGGCAACAAAGCACTTGTTTGGCCTATCAGCAGAGCCCACTTAAGCCCTTGTTCATACTGTGAATGTTCCATGAGCCCTTAGCCAGCTACTATGACTCACATGTCATCAAACTCCATGTGTGATAACCGATAACACCCACACACACCCACCCACCCACACACACACACAGCGGGTACTTCCTTAACCTAAATTGATGTTTTGGCATGAGGAGAGATGTGGGAACGCTCCGAGATCATGTTCCAAAATAGCATGTACTGTTTGTATTCAACCACTGACGCCGATACACCCATGGCCGTTTGGAGTGTAACAAGTGAGCGTGCTCATCACTAATTTATGTGGTCTCTATGAGCGGACATCCTGAGGGACTGCGAGGAGGAAGAGGAAGGGTAAATGAGGAAGAGGAGAGGGGTGTTGAGTTACAGCGGGCTGAAAAGTGGCCTGCTCATCTGCCATTGCAACCTCATTGTAACCCGCTCCCTTTGTGCATTGTGTGTGAGAGAGACTTGTGAGTACGCATGTGTGTGATGTGCACACCGTGTTTCCACAATTAGTTTGCTGGAATTGCAGTAGGTATCCACACACACACACACACGGGGCATGTTTGCATGGTAGAGTAATGTCACAGGTAGCACCATTAGGGCCGAGGAACAACTGAAGGACGACTGGCTTGTCCAGAGATAGACTGGTTTTAACTGCGCGCACACACACACACACACACACACACACACACACACACACACACACACACACACACCGCTTGATCCAGCACCTGCTACTACTGTATTTGCAGTGACTGAGAGGAGAAGAGAACAGCATGTTCTCGTTTTTCATTCTCAGCAAGGCAGATAACAACATCCATTGAAGAAGCTGGACAAAAACATGATTTATCTCACAAACAATGTATTAACCTGCCATCACCCTCATGGTTCCATCTCACATTAAAGTCCATGTTTTACTGACTGGCTTTGTTCATCCGACAAGAGAAATCTGATGTGTTTAGGGTGGAGACAGTCGAGAGGAGGTGGTGGGAAGTCGCAGCTCTCAAATAGCCAACAATTTGGCTTGATTGAAACGGCAAGTTGCTGTCGTTATCGCTGACCGCATGTTTCTCCATGTCACCTTTAGGTAACACCCCGTGGTGTACCTCGACAGAATACATTCTCTTCGGGCCCACTGCTGCACAACTGGGAAAGCCCGGGGAGCGGTTTCACCACATCTTTCTCTCTCACGTTCATTTTGACACATTTCACGAATAGGATCAATTTCGATTCTTGCGGCCCATTTTTTGAGAAATGCGAGAACCATGTAGAACTCACAAATGTATACAAAATTTGCGAGCGACAACCATATGTGAAACGTGGCGCTGCAGCAATTAGCAGAGCTCAAAAATCTCTTTAGTTAAAGAGGCCCCTTGAAGATAATATCAGCAAAGCGCTGACGTTTTTATGAAAATGACAAAATGAAATATTTCACGTTGCATCAAAAGAGAAATATACTTTTATCTACAGATTTTCATCATCATTTTTGGAAAGATGCAATTGTTTCCTGTATTTTATTTCTCCATAGAGGACACCCACAAAGCTGTTTCCTGCTGCAAGAGTAAACATATCAACACAGTTTACAGTAAACAAACTCCTCTTGGGAGAAAACGCAAATTAGCTGCTGCCAATGTGCCTGACTTCTTCTAATTGCAAAAAAAAAATAGAGTTGAACTACAATGCTTGAACTGCAAATTGTATTTTTTAAATTTGAAATGTGTATTATGTAGAATGAACCATGACTATACTGTTAAATAGAAGTTGAACATTCCCTCAGGTGACTGTTGGGTGGCCTCATGTCCTGAAGGGGAGTTTTTCTTTTAAATAGAGATAGAAAGAACACCACGCACAAAAAAGTCCCAAAAAAAGGGACAGAAAGCAATCAAGCACAACAACAATCCAATGTGGAGAGATGTAAAGCATGCTAGTGAACTGGAGCCACTTCGGCGGTGGCTGCAGGGCCATC